TGGGATTTTAATCCTCTGCTGGGTTTCTTTCAGTTCCCCTGGTACCACAGAAACAGCTTCTGGCCTTGAAGGAAGGCTGGGCAGGGCTACAGGGAAGGAGGCTCAGTGTCTCATCCCTTCACTCTCTCTGCAGCCAGCAAACTTCTCCTCAGCCCAGAGCAGGCTGGTTCCCACCATCTCCCCAGCTGCCACAGGTTCCCAGCAAGCCATCAACATGCTGAAGGAGCAGAATAGGCTTCTCACCAAGGTGAGTGGGGGAGCAGGGGGAGGAGATCCCTTTGGTGTGCTGGGAGAAGGGTAGAGGGATGGGGCCAGGGAAGGAATGCAAGGCAGCAGGTCTGTGGGAAGTGTTCCTTCAGCTTGGCCAGCCTTAGCCATCCCAGAGAAGGGTGAGTGGGCTACACTTGGAGACCCTTTGGCACACAGCTGTGCCCAGATGTGTCCAGCTGTTTGCTGGGTAAGTCAGTGGACTGGGATGTTTCCTGCAAGAGTGAAAAGGCTGTGACAAATGCAAGTCATGAGAGGGTGCAGAGGCTGCAGCTGGAGTCTGCAAGCAGGGCTGATGGGGAAGGGACACCATGGTGCCCCTGCCAGGGCCAGACTCACTGCTGGGGTTCCCAAAGCAGCACCTGGCCACAAACATGCTCCAAGGGCTGGAGCTCCTCTGCTCTGGAGCCAGGCTGGGAGAGCTGGGGGTGTTCAGCCTGCAGAAGAAAAGCCTCCAGGGAGACCTAAGAGCCCCTTCCAGTGCCTAAAGGGCTCCAAGAGAGCTGGAGAGGGACTTGGGACAAGGGCCTGGGGCAACAGGACAAGGGGGAATGGCATCGCACTGCCAGAGGGCAGAGCTAGAATGGGTTATTGGGAAGGAATTCTTCCCTGTGAGGAAGGTGAGGCACTGGCACAGGTTGCCCAGAGAAGCTGTGGCTGCTCCATCCCTGGGAGTGTTCCAGGCCAGGTTGGGCAGTGCTTGGAGCAACCTGGTTTAGAGGAAGGTGTCCCTGCTCATGGCAGGGGGTGAACGAGATGAGCTTTAAGGTCCCTTCCCATCCAAATCAGTTTGTGATTCTGTGAAATCTTACCTGCAACACAGCAGTTGCCAGCATTTCACTCATTTGAGCTGCATTTTCCTCCCCTGTCTCACGCAGGAGGTGACTGACAAGAGCGAGCGCATCACCCAACTGGAGCAGGAGAAATCTGCCCTGATCAAGCAGCTCTTTGAGGCTCGTGCCCACAACAACCATGAGACAAGCCAGCTGGATTCCACTTTCATCTAGCACCCACCTCCCCTTCCCCATTCTCAAGCTTCCCCGGGGGTTTCAAGGGTCTGTTGCCCTAAACCCGTCGCATCTGTTACTCCAGGTGTTGTGTCTCAAGGTCTGGGGCTGCCAGTGACATCTCTGCAGGAAGAAGCTGGGACCCCTCCTGGGGAGTATCCCTACCCTGCTGTGCTGCTGGCTTTCCAGCTGTGCTGCTCCTAAGCTGCTCCTTTTCTGTCTCTGAATGGGCTACAGGGACTCTCTGCCCAGCCCTGGGACCCGCTGTGTGCAGGGGATGTGGCTGCTGCCTGTGTGGGTGGAGCTGCTGTGCCCTTGGCCTGACTTGGGCTGGATTTTGGCTGCTCTAGGGAAAAGGTGATGGATCTTCAACACTCCAGCTGGCATCCCAGGCAAGCCTGGCCCTTGAGGGTGCCTGTCCCTGCTTGTCCTGCTGTTGGAAGACAAGATTGGAAATCCGGCAGGGCATGCCTGGCTCCTCTCTGCTGCCTGTGTTCTGCCTGCCAGTGCTGCTGTCTCGGCCAGGCAGTGCCCGAGCTGCTGCTTCTCCCAGCAATCCCTCTTTGCAGTAGTGATGCCATAGTTGCTGTTTACATGTCTGCAGGCTATTGTAGGGGACGGGCCATAGACCCAGCCGAGGCAGCCCACACCTCTGAGCTGCTGTTTCAGGCTGTTGGCAGGTTGAGGCAGACACCTCTGAACCCATTCACTTGGCTTGACCTGGCAAATGTTTCCTGATGGCTGCCAGGATTAGATTCCTTTCATGAGGCCTGTAAAAGCAGAGGTAATGTCACACAGACCTTGCAGAGAGGCTTTAGAACTTGGTTTTTTATCTACTTGAGCGTGGGCAGTGCAGCAGAGGCTGACAGGCTCTGCCCTTTGCACACCTCCATGTGGAGAAATGGCAGCTCTGCCTGTCGTGGTGGATGCTGCTCCCCAGGGTGACATCCTGCCTGTGAGCTGCACACCTCTGCAGGTCTCCTGGGGGGTGGTGGTAGCCTAAGATAGGTCTTGTTAGATGGTGCATCTCAGGACTCCTCCTGCTTCTCACCCAGCTCGGTGATGATGCTTGGGCTGAACTGTGGCTTGGTATGTGGTATCCATGGTACTTTCATTGGAGGTCCCTGCGAACCCCCATGTAGCACAGCCTGTCCCTCTGTACCCCAGACACCAGGACCCTTCTCTCTGGGGCTGTTTCATGCTCTGACTCTCTGGGCACGATGCTGTGGCGCTGAGCTGGACAGAAGGTGCTGTCCCTGCCCTGGGCTGGCACCGTGCAGACCGATTCTGTTCTCCGTTTTTTTTATCCGTCTGGTGCCCTCTGTCCCATCCAGATCCTCTCTTTGAGGTTGATCCGAGCCTAAAGCTCACTGCAAGGCATAGATCCCTTCTCTGCCCTTGTGCCTGCTGCTGGAGTGGAGATCAGCAAAGTGCCAGGGAGAGGGCAGAGGAGGAGCAAGGCCGTGGCTAGTGGTGTCCCCTGTCTGCAGGAGAAGGGTGTTAGTTGTCCCCTGGGCATTAGTGCCTGCCATCTCTTTTGTGATGCCACCTCTGGTGTCCAGTGCCTATTTTGCCTGAGGTTTAATTAAAAGCCTCTTTATGAGGAGGGTCAGCTATCTGTAGGAATAATAAAGTGGAGTGAACTATTTAACTTACTCATTTTGTCTCTACCTAAATCAGCCTATCTGCTGCTGCCAGCCCTGATGTCCCTGACTGCCCTGTCCCTTGGGATGTGGGGTGAGCTGAACCATGGGACACAGCATCCATCCTCTCCCTGCCCTGCAGGAGTAATGGTCCTGGCAGGCTGATGTGAGGAGCCTGAGCTGCACCTGCAACCTGGGACATGACTCAGGGGCTCTGTACCTCTGGCTGGAACTGGCCAGGATATGGCAGCTGCTTGGCAGCTCTGCTTGACCCTGGGTTAGGGAAGTCCTGCTGTGATCAGGTACCTACACAACCACAGGAGAACTGCCATTGCCAATCCCGGGCCTTGCTTCCAAAGAGAGGCATGTGTGGAATGCTGGAAGAGTAAGCTGAATCCTCTAACAAGGCACACAAAACCTTCCTGTACAACAACGTGGTAGAAGGTAGTGGCAGTCAGGCAGGCTCCCAGCAGCAGTTTGTCTCAAATCAGCCTTCAGAGGCTGGGCAGGTTCCTGCTGTGAGAAGGCAGAGGGTAGGACCCTCCATGGGCTGCAGGTGGGTGTCTCCTCCACCATGCACCTCCACAGGTTTCAGGTGGAGCCTCATCATGGTTCTCCCCACAGGCTGCAGGGGAATCTCTGCTCTGGCACCTGCAGCAGCTCCTCCTCTTCCTCTCCCCTGACCTGGACATCTGCAGGGTTGTGTGGTGATTTTTACTCTTTAATATGTTATCACAAAGGAACCCACATCTCTGCTCACGGGCTCAGGTTTGGGCAGTGGTGGGTCCATCCTGGAGCTGGCTGGGTCCACCAAGGGGACAGCTCCTGGTGCCTTCTCAATAAGGCACCCTACAGCTCCCACTGCCCACATGTCAATACAGTCCCAAGGACATGGTGTCCCGCAGGCTGGAGCAGAATGAGGATGCACTGGGAGTGGGATGTGGATGCTCAGTCACAGCAGTGTCCCTGTCCCTGATCCAATCTGGTTGATATACAGCAGGTAGGACCATGTGTGCCCTCACAGAAGCTTCCCACACCTGGGGTGGTGTCAGGTCTGCTAAGGACTCAGCAGCCTGGACAGCTCCTCCAGCAGCTGGTGCAGGGTGTTTTGGGAGCTGGACCTCACTAGCTGCTCCTCAGAAAGGAGATGAGCAGCTGCTGGCTGCTGAGCACCTCTGGCTAGCTTCCCTTCCTCCCTCCCCTCCCTCCCTTCCTCCATCTTCACCTCAGTTTTAAATATTTATTTAAAGTCATAGAAAGAAAAAAAAGCTTCAATGAGAAGAAATGGTAACCGGAGCCTCAGGAAAACACTCGAAGCTGATGGTGAGGGATGAGACAGAGGGACCAGGAACATAGGGAGGCAATGGGCAATCGTGATTTTGGCCTGGGGTGAGGTATTTCTGGCAGGGGATGTGGAGGGTGAGGGATTTGGGACAAATCCTTTAACCTTTTCTGATGGTTGTTGGAAACCAACCAGCAGGCAGTAGTAAAAGAAAAGAATACACAAAGAGAGAGACTCACAGATAATTTTTTTTTCCTCAAAAAAATAAAATCCATTAGTCCATACAAGACATGAAAACTCCAAACAGGCACTGAAGCATTTCTGATACAGTACAGCTCCGATTACATCAATATTATTCCTTATATAGAATTAAAGATTACCATAATTATCCTCTTTAAAAACAAAAACAAATCCTCCAAATTTACATATAGAGACTAAATTTCTACAAACCTTAACAAGACAAAACCCCTCCAAGCCTGGCTGGGTTCTGAAACAAGGTACCATCATGTCAGTCTTGACCAAGGGGCTGGAGGGAAAGTTGAAGAGTTGAGTTTAAACATGAGCTGAGCCCAAAAATAGCTCTTTGAGGCTCAAAACCTCTAGAAGAGCTGTGTCCCTCACTCCCCTCCCAAAGCAGTGAAGTGCTGATGAACAACAAAAAAAAGAAGCAAATTTGCTTGGCAATTTTGGACATGGTGTGATCAACATCCACAACCACCAGAGCATCCCTTTTAAGGTGACTGTTTCTCTGATTAGCTGTAGACCATAACCTTCTCTCTTCCCCAAGAGAGATGGTCCCATGGGGCTTTATTTATTTTTTCTTTTTTTGGGGGGGGTTAATCTGTGGCAAGACACTGTAGCACCTTCACAACCTTAAATAAAGTCATATATATATAAAATAACACACTTTTTTAAGAGCACCAGAGATTTCACAGTGAGAGGTAGAAACAAATCAGACAAGCCCATCCTCT